TCAGTTGATGACTGTCTTTCTTTTCTCCTCTAATCTCCATGTCCATTTCTTGGTCCATTTATCTTTCCATTTCTTTTCCATGAAATGTATCAGACAAGAATGTTCTTCATGGACTTTAGTAAATCCCTTTAAATTTGGGGTATAGTCGGTAGGGATTCATGGATATAACTCTTTACTGCTTTTCTACATGGAAATATAGCTGGTTCTGGCGGCTCTCTGATTTGTGGTTTGTAATCTGAAAAAAATATACAAGAGCTGTGATTTGAAATTCTGGTTCATCAGTAAGAACTCTTGAGTTATATCTTTTATGTCTCCTCATGAGCTAAGGGAGAGCTGGGGTAACTACCTGGATGCCAATCCTGACAAGGATAACTGAGGAGACTGTTCTCCTGTGGCGAGCCCTTAACCTGGACCCACTCTGTGGTATCCAGTCTAGGAAATGCCACTGTGTAGCTTAAAAATTCACACTGAGTAGGTGCTTCTCACAATGCTCTTCTAGAACTAGAATGAGAAATTTTTTAGGCTTTCTGCTTTGTGTTGTGGTTTTCCATTTTTATACACAGTCACTCTCACTAAGGGTTTGGATTTTTAATAAACTTCAGGTGCTAAAGTATTTTTCTTCATCTCAAATTCTCATTTTCCATCCAGTTAAATTAGGTTCTCTCATCTCAGGACAAGTTTGACTCATTTTGTGATACTGCTCCTCAGGTTCTATTTGTAAAATGGAACACAGTCAGGCTCTGCCTCCTACAGACTGATCCTGTAAGGGGAGCTGTTTCAGTTGTTGCCAATCGAAATTTCAACTATCTTACTCAGTCCCGCAAACTACATAGAACAATGCTTGAAGAATTCCTTAATTCTAGACTTAATATGAAGTTGACAAAGTATTTGAGAACAAATGCCCTGAGATGAGGGTTAAAGTTTATTATGCACAGTTGCTTAAATGTAAATAGACAGCTATTAATAGTAATCAGCGGATTAGTAACCAGCTTGCATCCCTCCTCACTAAAGATCAGATGACAATTCCTGATCAGCCTGGTGTAGAGAATAGTGCTTTCAGGCTGGTCTGAATGCTCTTCTCCATCACCAGCCCCAAGCAGCGGGGCTTCTTGGGATATCTCACTAGCTTGGGGCCCATGCTATATGAAGTGAGATGTGCATATCTGACTTCAGAGGAGTTATCTTAGCCTGGGCGTATGTACTTGCTTAAAACACAGTGAGTATCAACTTTCACATATTCTGCTTTTGAGCAGACCAGCCCATGCTTTTTTTTTTTTTTTTTTTTTTAAATAGCTCATACCCTGACACTCTTGTCATGCACCAGAATGGGCCTTTGTGAGGCAGTCAGTCTGCACACTCTCAGGCAGCCAGAGTTCTGGTTCAGCTGCACCATCCCTGCATGCAAGGCTTGTTTGTGTAGTTATTTGAATATTTGGCTGTACTTTGCCTTGATTCTTTTTTTTTTTAAGATTTTATTTATTCATTCACGAGACACACATAGAGAGAGAGGCAGAGACACAGGCAGAGGAAGAAGCAGGCTCCATGCAGGGAGCCCAATCCCGGGACTCCAGGATCATGCCCTGGGCCGAAGGCAGGCACTAAACCACTGAGCCACCCAGGGATCCCAATTCTTTTTTTTTTTTTTTTTTTTTTTTTTTAGGATTTTATTTATTTATAAGAGCATGAGGAGGGAGGAGAGAGGGAGAAGCAGACTCCTCACTGAGTAGTAGGGAGCCTGACACAGGACTTGATCCTGGGACCTTGAGATTATGAGCTGAGCTGAAGGTAGATGCTGAACTAACCGAGCCACCCAAATCCCCCTTTTGCCTTGATTCTTTAATAAAAATGAGTAAAACACAGGGGCACCTGAGTGGCTCATTCAGTGAAGTGTCCAGCTCTTGATTTTGGCTCAGAATCATGGGATGGAACCCAGTGTCTGGCTCCATGGTTAGCACAGAGTCTGCTTAAGAGTCTCTCCCTCTACCCCTATCCCCCTCCCCTTGCATTCTAAGAAAAAAAATTAGTAAAATAGATGCGTGCCACTCAGAAGTATCAGTCTTTTTTTTTTTTTTTAAGATTCTCTTTGTTTATTTGAGAGAGAGAGAGAGAGAGAGCAAGTATACACAAGTGAGGGGAAGTGCAGAGGGAGAGGGACAAGCAGACTCCCCACTGAGCAGGGACCCTGATGCAGGGGCTCCATCCCAGAGATCATGACGAGAGCCAAAAGCAGACACTTAACCAACTGAGCCACCCAGGTGCCCCCAGGAGTATCAGTCTTTAAGAGTTAATACAGTCAGGAACAGGCGAGGTTGGAACATTTTACAGTCTTTCACTTCATTTGGACATTTGTTGGACCTAAGCCAGTCCCCTGTATTCAGTTATGAAAGAAAAATAAGGAACAGTATAAAATACTGGAACCATGTGGTCAAAGTCTGGGTGAAAAGGGCAGATGTAATTAGAGGTTTTGTAATTAATTTAATATTCTGAGATGGAACTCCCCTAGTAGGATGGAAGTCATTTGTTTATCTGGCTTTGACTTTCAGAAAACCTTCAGCATGAAGTCTTTATGCAGCGTGTCTGACCCCTTGGTTTTTATGGAAGGCCTTCTGCTCTGTAGAGCCGACAAGGAAGGCTGCCGGCATCTCTGGTTTGCCTGCGTTCTGTCTGGTGTGATGAGAACGAGAGAGAGAGAGAGAGAGAGAGAGAGAGAGAGAGAGAGAGAGAGAGAGAGAGAGTGTGTGTGGTGGGGATAGTGGCAGCACAGGGGAGTCTCCTTGTTGAACCTCTTAGTGTTGTCATTGCTTATTAAGATTCTTTTTTTAAAAAATCTTTATTTCTTTTAAGAGAGAGAGCACACAAGTAAGGAGGGGCAAAGGTTGAAGGAGAGGGAGAATCCCAAGCAGGCTCCATTCCCAGAGCAGAGCCTGACATGGGGCTCGATCTCACGACCCCAAGATCATGACCTGAGCCAAAAATCAAGCCACCCAAGCACCCCATTGCTAATGATCTCTTTAAAACAAAGAAACCCAGATGCCTGGGTGGCTCAGTGGTTGAGCATCTGCTTTTGCCTTAGGTCGTGATCCCAGGGTCCTGGGATGGAGTTCCCCATTGGGCTCCCTGCATGGAGCCTGCTTCTCCCTCTCCCTGGTACTCTGCCTTTCTCTGTGTCTCTCATGAACAAATAAAATCTTTTTTTAAAAAAAATAATAAAGAAGCCCCATCTTTGACATTCTTCTGACTCATATTATCTGTATCTGAGTTATATTCTCTAGAAACTTAAATGATTTTGAAATCAGTGCCTGTGATAATGTGGCTCTGTTATCATTTGTCCAGCTGTTCCCTAATTAAGGACTTAGAGTTCATTTCTAAGTATTGTACTCCAAGGTATGCAATAAGCATCCTTGTCTGTATGTTATGAAGCTTTTGACTTTATAAGTAGATTACTCGAGGTGGAAGTAACGGGTCAAATGATGTGTACATTTTAAGACTTAATAGATATCCTTCCCAAAAAGGCATAGCAATTTTTACTCCCTCCAGCCATGTAGAGAAATGCCTTTATTTCTCATCTAAAATTCTTGCTGGTTGAAGAGGTGGGAAAAGGCATTTCATTTTTCTCTAATTGCACTTTGTGGACTATTCACGAGCTCGAGCAACTTGATATAGAGTTGTTCGCCATTTGCATTTCTTGAGTCGATTGCTGCCTTTTCTCCTGAGCTGCTTTCTTACTAATTTGAAAGAACTTTTTGTCCATTAAGCATATTTACTTTTTGTCGTGTGTGTTGCAGATATTTCTTTCTCAGCCTTTTTGTCTTTTGACTTTGTGAATAGTGTCATGTTGCCATAAACTTTTAAAACTTTTAAATGTTATTTGTATGGCTCTTCTTTATGCCACCTACTTTCCTCACTTAATGCTAGTTTTTTTTCCCCTCCCTAAATTGATCCCATGGTATTTTAGAGTTTCTGTTGTTAATGTGGATGGGATTTTTTTTTTCTTTTTCTAGTTCAGCTGGATATAGCTGACATAGAGAAAAGCTGTTCATTTGAATATACTTGTTTTGTTTGCAGGTTGCTAAATTCTTTCTAGCTTTGAGTCTATTGAGTTTCTAAGCATAGTCACATCATCTCCAAACAAAGATAATTTTATCACCTTCCAATGCCTACTCCATTTTTTTTTCTTTTGCAGTACAACGAGCTCTGGGATTTCCGTTAAAGTTATTAAACCTCTTTTATGGGTGAAAATCACATCCAGTGTGGAGCCCAGCTGCATCAGGAGCTGTTTGGCTCTGTGCCATGGCCTTCCTGTATGGCATCCTCACATCTCTGCACAACCAGGGTTGTGTAGGCTCCTTCCTTCCCAGCTGGATTCTGAGCTCTTTGAAGTTGGGCATCATGTCTCTTATGTCCCTCCCGGAGCTTGGCAGAGAAGCAGGCACCTAATAAATATGTTGGGTCTATCAAGTGCAGGGACAGAGCCCCTCATCTCTTCTTCCTTGCAGCTGGCTCTGACATCTCTCACCCTGTGGAGTTTAGACTTTGGAGCCTCTGCACCAGCGACGTTCTCCCTTCTCAGACTTTATCAGCATCACCTGGAGAGCTTGTTAAAACACAGATTGTGGGGTCACTGCTAACGTTGCAGATTTAGCAGGTCTGGATCCCAGAATTTTGCTTTTTTTACCAGCTTAGATGCTGCTGGTCCGGGCAATACAGTTTGAGAACCACTGCGCTAGGCTAATTGGTGACTTTGTGGACAGAAGGCTAAGAATTTGTTGTGTGAAAAAGCCAGATTCTTGTGGTGATCCAAATTCTCCAGTAACCAAGTCCCTCTTCACTTCATCCCAGGAGCTTCTGCCCCAGGCCCTGTCCCTCCATGTGAGTCTGTGCACTGAAAGAGTGTGTGTTAGGGGACACACAGTATTCCTCTTTCACAGGATGGGAGATTTTGAAATAAAATCTACTTTTTTAGGTTTAATGAAAATTGACTCCCCTTTCCACCCTCTCAGCCTCTGCACTTAGATACCTTCATGAAAACAGAATCATACATCGGGATCTAAAGCCAGAAAACATCGTCCTGCAGCAAGGAGAGCAAAGAGTGAGTGACCTTCCTGGAAAAGTCCTCAGGGGACTGCCTCAGGGAGCTGCTCTGGTAGAAAAAGAACACCCTTTATATCTTTGTTGATAATTGCATTTCCTTGACTTTGTATTTGCTTTGATTCTCTGGGAACACTTTTTGATTTGAAATGGAGTTCAGCAAAAAGCTCTTGCTTGCAGATGGAGGCAAGTCTGAATGGATCACATTGTTAATTGCCCAAGTTGCAGGAATCTGATAAGGCAAATAATGTTTCTCTTCCCACCTCCGCCCCAGCCTTTGGGACCAGTACCTCTTAGAAATAGACTTTCTGTTTCCTGTGTGTTTGAGAGCACAATGTTTGATGCTAACCTGGAAACCAGCTCTCAACTTGCATTGGATGTGACACAGAGGAGGCATTTGGAGCTGGCACCTGCCCATAGAGTCTGACCCAGCCTTCAGTCTCCCTAGAGCTCCTTGGGGCCCTCCTCAGGGGCCCTCCTGCTTGGGTGTGGGGGTTACCTCCCCACACAGCACCACACCTTGGCACTGTGCCCTTTCACAGCCTTGTTTTGTTTGGCTGGGGGTGACAAGCAAGGGGTCTGCTGAGAGGAATATAGTAATATAGTAATCCAGCTCAGTCCATCAACATTTTTGGGCCTGACCCGTGACTATTCATAGGGTTCACCTTTGTTTTGGTTCATACTCATTCTTGCCAGTGTTCTAAGATTTGAGAACTTAAGGGTATTTCCTGAGAAGGTCTTTAACCTCATAAAGTTCAGATTTAGCAGTCTTGAGGGCTGGGGCATAGTCCATTCATATTGACCTTCCACTAGTGATTAGTTGCAGAGCCAAGGAGAACATGTATCTTTTTTTAGCCTTTTTACTGTGCGTGTTTTCTCTTGCCTTATATCTGCCATATTGAAGGGAGCCTTCTTTGGTGGTTCTTAGGAACTCAGGATCTAATACTACTGGGGAATTCAGAAATATCCTCTGCTTTTGTCAGCAATCAGTTCTTATAAGAAGACAGTGTATTTTCATAATCCTCCAATTTCTCCTTTTTTTTTTCCAGTTAATACACAAAATTATTGACCTAGGATATGCCAAGGAACTGGATCAGGGCAGTCTTTGTACTTCCTTTGTGGGGACCCTGCAATACCTGGTAAGAAATGAGATTTAGATTTATGTGTTTGCTTATCAGCTTCTCTCTGATGGCTGAACTTGAGCGGCTCCTCTCTGTCCTTGCCTTCTAGTATTTAAATTTTGCCAGCTCTTTAGACGGTTCCCAAATACATAGGAATTGTTGTATGACAGAGATATAATCTGTTCAAGTCAGCACTTTTTTTTTTTAATTTGAGAGAAGATTAGAGAGAGTGTGTGCTCAAGTGGAGAGGGGCAGAAGGAGAGGGGGAAGCAGACTCCCTGCTGAGCAGGGAACCCCATAAGGGACTTGATCCCAGGACCCTGAGATCATGACCTGAGCCAAAGGCAGATGCTTAACTGACTGAGCCACCCAGGTGTTCCTCAAGTTAGCACTTTTTGCCAGTGGAGGCCCAATGGAAGGATATGGTTATCTTCTTTGATATCAGAAGGGCTTTGCTAGTATGTGCCCTTCTACACATCCCATAATGTCTTGGGTTTCAATATTTTATCTGAAAATAAAGAGTTTAAACTAGATCCAAGCTGGTCCGTAGAAGCCACAGTTTCCATGTGTTGTCTCGGCCACCAAGAAGGAGCCGAGTTCCTATTTGTACATCATTTGGTCTAAATATTGGGGTTCTATTTTAGTCACTCATTCACTCAGTAAATGCCGACTGAGTATTATAGTTTGTGTCTGTGTGCCAGGCACTGTGCTGGGAGCTGGCGATGCAATGGGAAAGAGACTGGCATTTCCTTGGTCTTTAGGAGCTTGGAGTTTGGTGAGAGAGCAGGCATTACCCCCCACACTTACACAGAAACTAAGAAACTACAATTGTGACAAGTGCTACAAAGGGAAAGGGTGGGGTGTCATAAAAATATGTATTAGGAGGACCTCACCTAGTCTGGGACTGGAAGGGGCTGGAGGTAGGGAAAAGGAGAAGGGATTGAAGAAAAGGATGTATGTAGTCCATGGAGGACCAGAAAGACACTGAAGGGTTTAAATTTGGAGAGGGATTGGGATTACCCCTTGAAAAGATGAGTCTTGATGCATTGTGGAGGATGAATTGCACTGAACAAGAGTAAATAGCGGGTAAGTAGTAAGGAGGCTGTTGTGATAAGAAGCTCAGAGCTGGTAGTAGCATTGAGGATGTAGAAAATAAGTCAAGAAATGCCTAGCAAACATTATATAGTCTCATTCATTTGGGGAATATAAAAAATAGTGAAAGGGAATAAAGGGGAAAGGAGAAAAAATGAGTAGGAAATACCAGAAAGGGAGACAGAACATTAGAGACTCCTAACTCTGGGAAACAAACAAGGGGTGGTGGAAAGGGAGGTGGGCGGGGGGTGGGGGTGACTGGGTGATGGGCACTGAGGGGGGCACTTGATGGGATGAGCACTGGGTGTTATGCTATATGTTGGCAAATTGAACTCCAATAAAAAAATAAAAAATAAATTAAAAAAATTAAAATTAAAATTAAAAAAAAAAAAAAAAAAGAAATGCCTAGCAAGAGACTCAATAAGACTTGGTAATAGATTGCTTGTGGATGGTAACAACCAGTAAAATTTTGGTTAATCGAGGGGTCTGCAGTTTAATGAACAAACAAAAAAAGGTTGAAAGCCACTGGGCTAAATAAGCTTAAATATTTTATCTAGTTCTTAAAAAATAAGAAGAAATTCTTTGATGTCTCTTTGAGTGCATTTATACTTCCTGCTTATCCTACCAAGTAGGGTAATAGGCTCCATCGCTTTATGACCTGCTCTCTGGATAGAGGTCTCAGAGTGGTGACCCATGGGGGGCTGTGATTTAGGCCCCTGCCCTGTGTCCATATCATGTAATTACATAGGTCCTACTGAGCATACTCTGGGAGCCTCATGGGTTCAGCAGGAGTGACGTGAGGTGACCCCGTGCTCTGACCAGGATGCTCAGTCAAATCTTCACCTTTAAAAACTAAAGCTTCTGTCTATAACCAGATACAGAGATTGATCTGACCCTTCCCCAGTTTTTCCTCGTTTTTGGCACTCCTTGACCCTTCCATAAGGGTCACACTTCTAGCCAGACAGTCCATGGTCCTGTCTCCCTGCCTGGGCTTGTGATGGTCCTTTCTGGAATGTCCCCTCACAGACACTTATGTGAGGAGCCTTCTTCTGACCCAGGTTCTGTTCTGTGCTTCAAAGCTTTGCTTGGTTACTTCAGCTGTGTCTGCTTGGGCAACAGTCCTGCATCTGGCTGATTGTAAATATCCCATCTCATTGTATGACCACATTCCTAAATCACATCAGTTTAAGAGACTTGGTCATCATTTAATGTGTGTGTATGCATTTGGTGTGTATAGCCTGGTGTCATTTTCCTTTGTTGTATGTAAGCTATCTTCCCACCTGGACACTGCACCCAAGAAAAGGGCATATGATGTTCTCTGGTCTACCCAAAACACCACTAGGGGCCCTTGTATCAATATCAGGAGTGAATGAAGTGCCAAAAAATTCTAGACACCACCAGTTACACATGTGGTCACCTCCTCACCCTGGAATGGACATGCCAGTGTGCTCTGGATGGAGTCAGGGGCATGTGGGGACATGATTAGAGGGGCAGGTAGCCCCCTCCTGTGACAGCTCCTCAGAAGAGGAAGCAGCTCAGGTGTTTCCCCACCACACATTCTCACACAGGCCCCGGAACTCCTGGAGCAGCAGAAGTACACGGTGACGGTGGATTACTGGAGCTTTGGCACCTTGGCTTTTGAGTGCATCACAGGCTTCCGACCTTTTCTCCCTAACTGGCAGCCCGTGCAGTGGTGAGTGAGGGATTGGGGGGGGGCCTGTGGGTGGGGCAAGGAGCACTTCCTGTAGGGAGGAGTGTGTCCCCCTGTCTTTGTCACATCCTTTACCTGTTCCCACCTCACCGGGCACTTCCAGCCTGGGCCCGAGGCATTGGTGATGTCTCCCATAGGGGATGTCATGTTAGGACCCAGCACATGGGCAGTCCAGGCTCAAAAATCCTGGAAAAGTAGAGCAATTGTTAAAGTGTTAACATCTTTAAAAATAATGCCGTATAAATATTTGCCCTGTATTCAGTAGCAACATGCCAGTACATTTACAGACTGCTTTATACAACGGTGTACTTATACTGAAGATGCTGTGTATTAGTAAATAAATAAAGAACATGTACGCAAGACAAATGATAAGTATTTACATGGAAGTGTATTATTGACAAATTTTACTATTCCTAAATATAAATTTTTGTTTTAAAAGCATAAGAAAGTGGCTTAAAATTTGAACCAATTTGCACACAAGAAAATTACCAGAAAAAAGATTTATAAATAAAAAACTGAAGGATATACTTTTTTAAAAATTATATCTTTGCCTTTTTTTATTACAAAAATAAGTGTATAAGTGTTCATTGTATATGTGAAGGTAAATCATTACCAAAATGTGTAGTTTGAAAACTAACATTCCCCTAAATTAGGTTTCATTCAGAGTATTGAGAGGCCACACTCTAATTTAAATGATGCAACTCTTATTCCAAATTTTTTTTTTTTAAGATTTTATTTATTCATGATAGACATAGAGAGAGAGGGGCGGGGGCAGAGACACAGGCAGAGGGAGAAGCAGGCTCCATGCCGGGAGCGTGACGCGGGACTCGATCCCGGGACTCCAGAACCACGCCCTGGACCAAAGGCAGACGCTAAACCGCCGACCCACCCAGGGATCCCCCAAATTTTGTTTTTATTTCCAGTTTTTGTTTTGTATTGTTTTGTTTTAGAGCAGTAATAAGTTCATATGGTTCAAGCTTCCAAAAGTGATAAAAGATTATGCACTGAAAAGTCCCCTCTGGGCAGCCTCCCCACCACCTGGCTTCCTTCCCCATAGGTACCTGCTACTGCTGGTTTTTGGTGTGCTTCCAAGGGTGTTTCATATGGGTACAAGCAAGTTGGTCTGTACTTGATTGTTGGTTCGTTTGTGTTTCACCTCTTTTTTACATCAATGATTAACATAATATGAACTGTCCTGCATGTGCTCACAAAACATTTTTACACCATGAGAATTTCTTTCACACAATCCAGAAAGAACCACTACGAACATTTTTGTGTGTCTCCAGGCTCTTCAGTATATGTTATACTTTTTACAAAAACACAAATTATTATACTCTCCTATAACCTGCTTCTCAGTCTTGCTATTGAAAATTCTTTATGTTTTTCCATTATTTGTCATATCTGGTATGCAACTGAATGGCTATACTGAAATTTATTTAATTTATGCCCCTTTATTGGAAGCATAGGTGGTTTAGAATTTTTGCTTCTTAAAATAACACCAAGAATAATGTTCTTATAGGGAAATCTTTATGGATCCATAATTATTTCCCTAGGACAATTCCTAGAAGTGGAATTAACTGATCAAAAATTATGTGCATCGTAAAGGTTTTTGATGTGTATTAAAATGCTCAACAGAAAGGTTGTATAAATAATCTTTTGACCAGGAACATACAAAGCTGCCTCTTTTACCATACCATTGCCAGCACTGGCTATTATATTTTTCTAAATACCTTTTTTGGAAGTAATGAAAACAGTAACTTTTTCAAAGGACAGGTACTTAACTTACATCATTAATTATTTACTTATAAGATGTAGCCTTGGAAATCAACTCTAGAAGAGTGGTTTTTGTGATGGCAGTCCAGTTCAGTCAACATGTATAAGCTAAACGCTGGAAATGCAAAGAGAAATGAGGCCAAGTGACTGCTTTTCTGGTCTGGCAAAATGGCAAAGTATGCCCTCCTGTGGTGGTTTATTTTAAAACAAGCAGTACTTGTTGAGCTGCATAAGTTCTAGAATATTAAGGAATTGGCTCATTAATTTATAGTCACACCTTATTCTATAACCATCATAAAAATAAATATCTGTACATCAATATTTTTAACTAATCAAAGAATTGCTGCTTTTCTTCAGTTCAAATGTTGAACTTTTTCATTATTTTTAACAAGATGAATTAAAATCCATTCAAACTGGAAGAACAAGTGCTATTTGAAAATATATCCCTAATGTCCCAGCATCCATATGGTAAGTCTGTTGTCTGCAGAATCAGCTTTTTAGAACTCCACTCCAGTGCTGGAAGGCCAGGTGACACTTCAGGCAGACTTGGACACCCAGTCAGGAGCTGTTCACTGGACTAGTTTGTGAGAAGTATCTGTCTCATTTGTCTTGTAATGCCTTAGACAACTTTTTAAAAATTTCACTCTCTCGTCTCAGATGGCAAGTGGATAGTAATTTCAGGACAGAGGCAGTTTGAGCTTCATAATTCTGTTGTAATGCTACTTTGAAATACTTTTCAGGACGTAACCAATAAACATTTATTTACTATGTCCTTTTATGTTTATAATTTTCCATTGATGGACTAATGACAAGCTTGCCCCTGCCTTACAGTAATCATAGTACCAGCCAGAGCTGTAAACCGGTGGCCACTGCCATGTGCCAGTGCCTGTAGGCTTCCCACATGCTCCAGACAGGCCAGCTGACCCCTTGCCTATGAGAAGTGTTCAGGACTAAAGTATTTTTTTATTTGAATTTCCCAGGTGTTTTTGGGAAGGAAAGACTTGTACATTCAGACAGAGTAGAAAGAATGGCAGACTTTGGGTTTGAGTCCAGATCTGCCATTCTGTAGTTATAAGACCTTGGGCAAGTCAACCAATCTTCATGTCCTTACCACTGAATGGGGGACTAAAAACAGGGCCTACCACATGGGATTATTGTGGCAAAGAAGCCTGTGTTCGGTGTTGAAGTACTTGATTATCTATGAAGCATAATTCAAATTTAAGTCATTTTCCTCATCACTGAAAAGTTTTGAAACTAGTTGCGTTTAACATTTTTTCCCCTTCAAAAACTATTTCCGATGCATCGGTGCATCAGTAAGTTCTCTAAATTGGGAAATGTGAATTCATTCACCACTAGAGTTAACATTTAGTCACCTACATTTAGAGGGAAGTGTGTTGTGTGTGCATGTGTTGCGCGTATATCCTATAAACGTGATACGTGTGCAGTGATCCTGGTTTGGAAGTTCTAATTGTATCCTCTGTCAAAACATGAATTTTGTATTAGATAAAATGAAAAGTGGAGAAAATTATAAAGACAAGCTAAGGATGAGATTAGGAGTTGGCAGTACTAGCTGTGGTACTCTGGGCACAGGAGGGTTGATGCCTCTACTCCTTCAGGCGGTACAGACTGTTCTTCAGCTCTGAAAGTAATCATCCCAGCCAGATGCAGATGCATTGACTGCTACCCAAAGATAAAATTGCAACCCGGGGGTATCCTGTACAGTTGTATAATGATATGTTACAGATGTAAAGTACCTCTTGCCCAAGTGACTTGGGGGCTATAATCAAGGAGATGACATGTTTGCAGGCATTCCAAAGTCCGGCAGAAGAGTGAGATGGACATTGTCGTCAGTGAGGACTTGAATGGAGCGGTGAAGTTTTCAAGCTCCTTACCCTATCCCAATAATCTGAACAGGTAAGGCACAGTGGCACATATCCTCTACGTAGTTTTCTTCCTTTTTTAGAAATAGGTGTCTGCAGTAACATCGGAAAGCTTTTCAAGAGGTTATCAGGATAGCATCCTGTGACTTAAGGACTTGAGATGATCATCTCAGTCATAAACTTAGAATGGATTCCCACTCCTCACCCCATCTAGAAATGATCTCTTTTCTAAATTCACATAACAATTTATCTGTACCTCTTACCACCTTTAGTAGCTTCTACTTTGTATTTTTTTTTTTAAGATTTATTTATTTATGATAGACATAGAGAGAGAGAGGCAGAGACACAGGAGGAGGGAGAAGCAGGCTCCATGCCGGGAGTCCGACGTGGGACTCGATCCCGGGTCTCCAGGATCGCGCCCTGGGCCAAAGGCAGGCGCCAAACCGCTGCGCCACCCAGGGATCCCGCTTCTACTTTGTATTACATTTGGTTTTGCATAGGGTTTGTCTTCTAGTCAGCCGTAAGCCTTTTCAGATTGTGTTTTTCTTCTCTTTGCACTCCTGTGTAGCCTCATACTGTGTCATAGTCAACAAATCTTTGTAGTTTGCACAGCATTGCAAACTAGTCTTAGAGCCAGAATGTGAACACTTAGATAGTAATATCAACATTGTGTAGTAGTACAAAAGAAAGTGGCAAGGCAGTCACACACAGCCGAGTGGTGCAGATAATAATTACCATGAGTAATTTAGAGGATGGGGAGAGCGGTAGCGTGTGGACTAGAGCTGGAACGACTTTGGATGAGCTGGAACTTTCTGGAAACATGTGCAGGACATGGATAGATGAAGAGGAAGGAAGGCTGCGGGGGAAGGAGTGAGGGGAGCAAAGGCATGTTCCAGGGGCAGTGTATAGAGAGTTGGCCTTCGTGGGGGCTGAGAGTGCCTACATGAGGCAGACCTGTGCCCGGGAAGGAGTGTGAACTTTGTTGTGGGAACCATGAGTGGGTTTTGCGCTGCAGGGGGGTCAGGAGGGAGGACATGGGATGGGTGTGGATTAAAATAAATCTGGCAGAATGGGGTCTAGCTTGGGGCAGGGGGCTCACCTGGAGGTAGGACATGCTGCGGCATATGAAGAGCTTCACAGTTCACTCTCCTGCAGCCAGGTGATCATTGGTCTGTTGACCTATCTGTTGAGAAATCTGGGATTTCAGGGGGTATTTTAGCAGATCAGGTAAAAGGATAAGCACTCAAATCATTAGTCTGGCTGGAAATGTTCGCTTTCTCTTGGGGAAATTCATTTTCAGTAATCATACTGGTTGCCACGGATGTATGTGTAGTGGTGAGTGTGTGTGAGGTGCATACCTTCCAGTTTTGTGTGGGAGGCCACCTGAGGGCAGTGCAGCGGTATCCTCCCACACCGTGCCCTCGTTCTTCTCAGCATCCTGGCACAGCGACTGGAGAAGTGGCTGCAGCTCATGTTGATGTGGCACCCACGGCAAAGGGGCACCGACCCTGTGTACGGGCCCAATGGTTGCTTCAAGGCCCTGGATGACATCTTAAACCTAAAGGTAAGTGCGGAGCTAGGTCAGCCCCGAGGCAGCAGTCAGGCCCCTGAGGGGCTGTGGCCAGGCTCAGGAGAAAGAAAAGCGCCTTATGAAGCAGGTCATGGGCCATCTGAGCCATGGAGAGGGGGCTCCTATGAGTGCCTGTCCCTGTGCTAACTGACTTCAGTTGTAAGGTCATAGCTGTGGACAAGCAGGAGTATTAAAGACCAGAATATAGGAACCCTCGTTCCTTTGCTCCCACTGGGACTCCTTTCCCCCAGCTAGCCTTGCCCCTTTCTTTGTGGGGCTGGAAAATGTTGCGAGCGGTAGACGACACAGGCAAAGAGTTGGGCTTCTCTGTAAAGATGTTTTTTTTTCCAATAACATCTGGGTTGTGTTGCAGCTGGTTCATATCTTGAACATGGTCACAGGCATCATTCACACCTATCCAGTGACTGAGGATGAGAGCCTGCAGAACTTGAAGGCCCGAATCCAGCATGACACAGGAATCCCCGAGAAGGACCAGGAGCTGCTGCAGGAAGCTGGGCTGGCACTGATCCCTGACAAGCCCGCCGCTCAGTGCATTTCAGACGGCAAGGTCAGCCCCTGCTCCTTACAGAATGCCTGGTGTTTAACTCTGACTTTGCCCCCAGGCTCTTCAGATTTCAGCTCTACTCTGTTGCATGGTACAGGTACCTCTCTGTTTTTTTAGTTGGAATGTGAGATCCCCTGCATCGATCTAATACCTAATGGGATACACGAATCCTTCTACGGTTGACTTGTTACTTTCAGACCACTTAGATGCCTTTCTGTTGTTGCCTTCATTGCCAAAGCAATGCTTTGCTCCTCCGAGTCAGCCAGAGCTGTTTCCAGTGTACCTTTGCGTACAGAACCATGTGGACAGCTACAGCTATGCACCACCTGGTCCCTGTCCCGAGGAACCGATGAAGTTAACTTATGAGAACCAAGCATTGGATAGGAAGGGAGATAGTGAACATCTGCATTGCACAGTAAAAATAATAGAGTATATATAAAAAAGCTATTACTACTAACAAGTAGTAAATAAGACACACTTTTGGATGATAAGTATAAAGGGAACACAAAGGGACATCTAGCCTGGAGTCATTGAAAAAGACTTCCTGGAAATTCAGTACCTGCTGGCTGAAGATGATGCCATTGGCAAATAGCAGGAAGCGCTCTGAAATCCCTGTGTTATTACTTGAAAAAGGCAGGAGTGGGACCCACAAGATTTCTTCTTGTTCTTGTCCCTTTGCAGCTGAATGAGGGCCGCACACTGGATATGGACCTTGTCTTTCTCTTTGACAACAGTAAAATCGCCTATGAGACTCAGATCTCCCCACGGCCCCAACCTGAAAGTGTCAGCTGTATTCGTAAGAACATCATTGTTTTTTTGTTTTGTTTTGTTTTGTTTTGTTTTGTTTTGTTTTGTTTTAATTAATCACTTGGGATGCCTGGGTGGCTCAGTTGGGTGTATGCCTCCAACTCAGGTAATGATCCCAAGGTTCTAGGATCGAGCCTCACGTCAGGCCCTCTGCTTGGTGGGAGGCCTGCTTCTCCCTCTGCCTGCTGCTCCCCCTGCTTATGGTCACTCTCTCTGTCAAATAAAATTTAATATTTTCAAAAAATCACTACAGTGCTTGGGACAAGGTAGGAGGGAGAGACATGGACCAGGGGAGGGGGTCTACAACCAAGGAGATGAGCTTACCCAGTCCCTGGGCAGCCTTCATTACTTAGGACTTACGAGTAGCCCAGCCAAAAAAGAGGAAAGGAAGTCTTCAATTTCTATCTCAATGTAGAACTTTAAGCACAGGACAGAGAATACTGCCTGTAAGCCTCTGAGCTTGATCGAATCAGAGGGCAAAGAGAGGGCTTGTGCTCTCTCGCGCTCTCTCTGTCAAATAAATAAAATCCTAAAAAAAAAAAAAAAAAGAATAAAAGGATAAAGATATCAAGGATCCAAAGTCTTAGTTCCAGACTTACTGCTTATTTCAGCATGTTCCAGGACTACTGTTTGAAGCTGAATTTTTAGAAAACTACGTATGACCTTAAATGTTGTAAATGTAAAGATTTCTGTTTAAAGCAGAAAGATTTCTGCTTTAAACAGAAATCTTTTCTGTATACATGTGATTATTTGTACATGGTTCACAAAATGTTTCTTCAGATTGATAGGTATTGATTGGTACACACTTGTGCTGTTGATGGGGTACAAAAAATGTCCACGAGAGTAGCCAGGTCTAACCCCCAAAACCGCTCTGGAGTAGCATAGCAGTTCTACAACCATGCAGTGTAAAAGTACCAGTGACGTCATGAGGTAGGATGTGGTTCATGGTAGGACAGTTATCCTCTGACAGTTGCCTATGTCTCTATTCCAGTTCAAGAGCCCAAGAGGAACCTGTCTTTCTTCCAGCTGAGGAAAGTGTGGGGCCAGGTCTGGCACAGCATCCAGACCCTGAAGGAAGACTGTAACCGGCTGCAGCAGGGACAGCGAGCTGCCATGTACTATGCCAGGCGGTTTGGGACTTAACTTATTTCAAATTGCTTGGTGGCTTTTGCCACAGGAAAGTGGCAGAGGCAGGAGCCCAGAAGCAATGGGAAGGAGAGACAAGAGAGAGACGCTGGTTTGGATGGGCAGGAAGTGGTCAGCTGGGCAGGGTTGAGGGAGGCCCTTTTAGACTTTAGGAGGTGAGTGAGGTCAGCTCATGGAGCAGGAGTGTAAACTGAGGGCTGGGCTGGCTGAACAAGGGGCAGAATTTGGAATGTGGAAAACCTCATTGCAATTGGGTCAGCAAAAACCCCCTGACTTCAGGCTCTCCAGGTCACTGGCCCTTTGTGTGGTATTGTGCCTAATTCCAATTTTGCTGCAGAACCTCGTGCTAGCAGAGGGCTAGGAAACTATGATTAGAAGTGGCTGCTTATGTTATAATAATAATTAGAGTAGGGACCTGCCTCAGTGTTTGAGGTGGTTTTGTTATTGTACAGGACATGGTATTTGGATTGCAAAGATGCCCAAAGGCTGTTTCTTGTGGTCCCTGCAGGATGAATCTCCTTCGGAATAATAGCTGCCTCTCCAAGATGAAGAATTCTATGGCTTCCATGTCTCAGCAGCTCAAAGCCAAATTGGATTTCTTTAAAACCAGCATCCAGATTGACTTGGAGAAGTACAGTGAGCAAACTGAGTTTGGAATCAGTGAGTGTACTCTTTCTGCTATGAGCTTGGAGAGACCATTTCTTTCTTTCTTTCTTTCTTTTTTTTTTTTTTTTTTCTTGAGGTTTCTTTTGTCTCTTAAAATTGAGTTGTTTGTTTCTATTTTGTTTTTGTGGTGTTTTCATTTTGTTTTTTTCTCCCTCCCCCCCCCCACAATTTTTTTTTCCAGCATCAGATAAACTTCTGCTGGCCTGGAGGGAAATGGAACAGGCCGTGGAGCTCTGTGGGCGGGTAGGACACTCATTTTAAATTCCTGTCCTTACAGAGGGGGGCTGAGGCTTCCCACTACCATTTCTCCCTCTCTCCTCAAACACTAGGTCTGTTTGTATGTCCGGAATCAGGTTGTCCTCATCCTGCTTTCTGACCTTAACTAGGACTTGCTGGGGAAAAGGCCAAGTTGATATGCATGCAGTACAGGGGCCCCCTCAATGGCAGATGTGAAAGCTATCCGGACCTGGTACAGATTTGAACAAGGAGCCAAATGCGAAGGATCCTTGTGGGAGGCCTAGACTTCTTCCTATTAGAAAGGGCATTATATGAATAGTCAACACTCCATCCTGCCAGGGGTTTGGCCTATTTTGTTGGGACACTAAATCCATAGAGAGAAGTCATCTAGGCATAAAGTCTTAGAACAGCAGAAATCCAGTACCCACTGAAAAATGTTAATTGTGAGGTAAGGGAAGTAAGTATGGCTTAGTGGACCTCACACAAATCAAAGACTGAATGCTCCAAGGCCTTTTCTGGACTTTTCATTTTCTCCTGAGAACTTGAGGAGGGACCTTCACTTCTGTGTCTTCACATCAGTTTCTATGTACCAATACCGTCGTGTATGTGTAAGGTGAGTATGATATAGATAATAACTCACCTAACCACAGAGGCAGTGAGTGTACACTGGCACTTATGTACATAAACTATGAAACACAGGCACCCAGGCCTCTCCACGTGGGATAGACAAAGGGGAGAAAGGAATACACATGGGGCATCTTCTTTGTTCTGGGCACCGGGCTGGATACTTTATACACCGTATCTTGTCTGGGCCCTAAAATGGCCTCATTAGAGGATTATTTTATGGCGGAGGAAACTGTAGGTGATTTGCCCATGGGGTCACACAACCAGAAAGTGATAGACTGAGATCCAAACTCAGGCCATCTGACTCCAAAGTCTGTATCCCTTCTAGCCGGTCAGTTGAGAGTCTTCAGTGAGTTTGGGAGGGCGACTTGCCCGCCAAATCCTGCACCTCAGAAGGCTCTTATTACGTCAGTTGACATGAGCACAGCTTTTTCATCAGGAGAATGAAGTGAAGCACCTGGTGGAACGCATGATGGCACTGCAGACGGACATCGTGGACCTGCAGAGGAGCCCGATGGGGCGGAAGCAGGGGGGGACGCTGGATGACCTGTGAGTACCAGCTGGCCAGTGAACCAACCCGCATACGCCCCAGCCAAGTTTCTATATGCGTCTGGGAATCGTCCAAGAGTGCAAGTGTGGTTATTATGGAAGCTGTAGGAGACCATTCTATAGAGAATGACCCTCTGGTGGAGCATATTGGCATGTTCCAGAGGAGTGCCAGGGATGAGCAAGGGCAAATCACCATCACTGTCAGCCTTCATTTCCATATCTATCGAGTGGCAAGAAGAACTGTCAGCCCTCACAGAGTTGTGATCAATTCAGATGACTCAGGTAGAGCAGGGGTTCAAAAACTGTAAAGGCTGTGATGGAAGCAGCCTTTGCCGTGGCTTCAGACATCACTGTTCATACCTCCTGCCGTGATCCAGGTGTGGCTTGAAGAGCAGAAAGTAGAACAGAGGAGGAGCCTCGCAGGGCTTAGGAGTTTGAATCCAGAACTGTTCATTTGAGTCTCTATCAGGAATTTGGCCTTGGCTGTAGGGGGTGATAAGGCGTCCCCGCCAAGCCATCTGACCTGAAGGGAATCAGACCTGAAGGGAATCACGGAGCTCCCAGGGTGCAGGTGGGCGGGCAGCAGACGAGTTGCATCACACATATGGGAGCTCTCACTTGGGCTCAGCAGGGTCCTCTGATGCCTTTACTAGAGTTCTCAGGACCAGAATCTCAAACAGGAAATCTCATGATCCAGATTCTGTGTTTTCTCCAATTATTTAACCCTTTATTCTCCTTTAGTTTTCAAATAAGTCACCTCTGAGATTGTCAGTCACTTTCACTGTGCCAAGGCTGGAAACGGTTAGGAGATTCTGTTGCCCTTGGGCTTGAGTTTCAAGAAGGCCTTTTGCTCTCCAGGTGATGGCACTGGAGTCACTATTGCAGAAGCCATGTGGACAGGAAATTCCAAGGGACAGAGTAGAAACTCACTTCCTCGAGACTCTCGCTCATTAAACCTTAGAGATTGTTCAGGTTTAATAATGAGGGCCATCGTTGCCTTGTTATAGGCATCACTTGGAATAGCTCCAGGGGTAATAATTCCCTCCAATCAAGACGTAATGCCCATCTTGCTTCTATTTTTTTAAATTTACTTTTTCATGAGAGAGAGAGGTAGGCAGATAGAGAAAGAAGCAGAGAAAGAAGCAGGCTCCATGCAGGGAGCCCGATGTGGGACTCGATCCAGGGACTCCAGGATCATGCCCTGGGCCAAAGGCGGGTGCTAAACCACTGAGCCACCCAGGCATCCCCTGTCTTGCTTCTAAAAGGCACTCATTGTACTGGCAGGAATTACCTACCTGGTGTTTTAAATGTATTTCTTCTTCCTGTGTTTCAGAGAAGAGCAGGCGAGGGAGCTTTATAGGAGGCTTCGGGAAAAGCCCAGAGGTAAGTGGGGCTTCTGTGGGCCACGGGTGCCTTTTGTGAGGTGTGCAGCGTTGGCGCTCTGCTGGCCACCGGGAAGAACTGTGCAGCTCCTTCCCTCTTTCCAGACCAGCGAACTGATGGCGACAGTCAGGAGATGGTCCGGCTGCTCCTGCAGGCCATCCAAGGTTTTGAGAAGAAAGTGCGAATGATTTATACGCAGCTCAGGTATCCGCCCTGACCTTCCTGCCCAAGGGTGGAATTCGGAGAAACTGTGAGGCCTCACATGAGGTCTTTTTCTGGCTCCCCTCTGACTTGCTTCATCTGGAGAAAATTTATCCACAGCTGCTGTCGGATTCCTAGTTACCAGGGATTGTGTTCTCCCACTTTCTCCAACCCCAGTGCCACTGGAGTTTGTCACATTTATTCTTTACAGTAAAACTGTGGTTTGTAAGCAGAAGGCTCTGGAACTGTTGCCCAAGGTGGAAGAAGTGGTGAGTTTAATGAACGAAGATGAGAAGACTGTTGTCCGGCTTCAGGAGAAGCGGCAGAAGGAGCTCTGGAACCTCCTGAAGATTGCTTGTGTGAGTGAGCCCTATGGCCAGGCCCTCAGCCCGCAGGCCTCTCAGGGCCTTTCCACCTCCTGCTGTCACCACCTCTAAGGGAGACTACAAAGCCCCTGACCAACCACTCATTTGCATTCCCCTCCTTTGGGACGTAGAGTGGCAGGGAGGCATCCCGTGTTTGTAATTCTGCATGGGTGCCTTTCCTGTGGCCGCTGTAGGGAAGTATGCCACCCAGTCTGGAGGCCAAAGTCTGAAACCAAGGTGTTGACGGGGCTGGGGTCCCTCTGCAAGCTCTAGGGGGACTCCTTCCTTGCTTCTGTCAGCTTCTGGTGGCCCCAGATGTTCCTTGGCTTGTGGGCCACATCACTCTTGTGTCTGCCTGTGTCTTCACAAGACCTTCTTCTCTATATCTGTCTTCTGGGTGTCTCATACAAGGACCCTTGCCATTGGATTTGGGTCCCAACTCAGTAGTCTGGGATAATCTCCTCTCAGGATCCTTAACTGTAGCTACAAAAACCCTTTTTCCAGTAAGGTCACATTCTGAGGTTCCCAGAGCTAGGACACAGATCTTTTGGGGGACCTTCCTGTAGTCCAGTGCAGGGCATGTCTGCATGACCTGGTCCATCCTCATCCGATCTTGTGCTGCTTAGTATTGTCACCTGTGCTTTCGGTGCCCACTGTCTTACTGTAGCTGAGATTCTACTGCGTATTGCTCAGAAAATGGGACACAAGAAAAGAGCCCAAGGCAGAGAAGGCGAAGAGTCAGGTAGAAGCCATGGAAACGAGCTGATGAGAGAGAGAGACCCTACACTGTGCAGGCTGCAGAGAGGTTGCCTGGGATGACTGTGCGATTTCGTCACTGATAGTGCTTAAGAGCAAAGAGGAGAATGGGAAGATAGCTGTCAAAGGTGGAAGCAGGATGCAAGGGTGGTGTTTTTAAGATCATGGACTGGAGCAGGTTTGCAGGCCAAGCAGAAGGAGACGGTGCCCTGGGAGACTCACGGTAGCCAAGAGGTAGGAGACAGTCGAGTCACCCACGTCCTGAGAACAATGGGGTGTAGCATGATGAGCATGCGTGGAAGGATTGGCCTTGGGAAGGGGTGGGTGAGATTTCCTCCTGCAGGAAAGGAAGAAAAAAAGAAAGCGAAGACAAGGAGAGAAGATTTAGGAAGGAGAGGAAAGTTGAGGTCTTCCCAGCGATGACTGATCTGCCATCTGCATTCACATGACATTTATTGAGCGTTGACTATATACCCAGGAGCCTAGGAATGTCATGAAAACTGGAGATATAGGAGGAAAGCGTGAAGCCCAACCCAGGAGCTTATAGTCTGATGAGGGGCACACACAGGGAAGTGAGCTTGAATTGGGGGCAGGAAGTGTCCATCAGCAGCTCATGCTGTAAGCTGAGTGCAGTGTGCAAAGAGGAGCACCAGCTCCAGTCTTGGAGGTGAGGGAGGCACAGAGAACTTTCACAAGGAAGTGTTATTTCAGTTGAAGAATGAATAGGAGTTAGGTAGGTGCAGAGGACATTCCAGAGTGAAGACCTTGCTCTTTCAGAGGCACAGGACATTGGCCTGAAGGAGTGGGTGTGTTCTGGGTGCTGCACGCAGAGTGGTGTGATGTGTGTGAAAAGCTGTCCTATGGAATGGAATGGGGAGGAAAGCGCTGGCTTCTGCAGGCCACACTTTGTTTTGAAGGTATAGAAAACACCACAGGGATCCCTGGGTGGCGCTGCGGTTTGGCGCCTGCCTTTGGCCCAGGGCGCGATCCTGGAGACCGGGGATCAAATCCCACGTCAGGCTCCCGGTGCATGGAACCTGCTTCTCCCTCTGCCTGTGTCTCTGCCTCTCTCTCTCTCACTGTGTGACTATCATAAATAAATAAAAAATTAAAAAAAAAAAAAAAGAAAACACAGAATTTATTTTTATCTTTCATGTTGCAGGAAGTTAAATATGGGAACAGTATGGTCATATCTGGGTTTTAGAGAAATCCCTCATGGCAGCTGGAGAACAGATCTGAGACTTCGACAGATCTCATTCCCAAGAGAGAGGGGCCGCTCTGGCGGCTGGAGTCCTGGAGCCCCTGTGGAGCACAGGACAGGACAGAGGATGGGCTGCCCTCCTACCATACTCACAGGCCCAGGCAGAGAAGATGGGGTGGATGGCTGGGTCTCTCCCTGCGTGACGTTCAGCAGGACTTGACTGACTGCTTGAAGCTGGACCTTGATGTTCAGCTGGAAGGAAGGATGTGGGACTGAAGCCCCACGGGCTTCAGCAAGGGCAGGAGCCAGGTGCATGAGGAGATGGTGAGGCCAAGAGATGAGAGTTTGGCCGGAGACATGGAGAGGGGAGGCGCATGAGGTGCTGAGAAGGTTGATAGTAGGTCATGTCTGCAGGCTACAGGCCAGTGGAGCAGGGGCCACTGGTCAGCCTGACTGAGGTGGAGTGGCTGCAGCAGCCAGAAGACGGCTGGGGGTGGTACTTGGAACATCTTGGTTTTCCTTTCAGCCATCGCACAGATGATGCGATTCCCAACCTTTTTTGTGGGTCTCAGACGTCTATGTGGAAAAGCAAGACCACCTCTGTCTTAATTTCCTTGTGAGAATTTGTTAAACAACCAGATTAATGAATAAAGCCTATGAATACAGGTACTCAAATCTCCCTATATTGAGAATATTTAGGGTGCCTGGGAGGCTCAGTCAGGGAAGCATATCTGCCTTCGGCTCAGGTCATGATCTCAGAGTCCTGGATCAAGCTCACGGGTTCCCTGTTCAGCATGGAATCTGCTTCTCTCTCTCCCTCTGCTGCTCCCCCTGCTTGTGCTCTCATACTTTTGTGCACTCTCTGCAAATAAATAAAATCTTTTTTTTTTAAACAATCTTCTATCAAAAAGATAGATACAGATAGATTTTCTAAGCCAAAATGCAAACTGTGGTCATGAGTAGGGTTGTTGACCAATAACTTGTAGGAATACCTAGTGTCCTGTGACCAGTTGTTTCCTGAGAAAATACCATTGTGTGAATGCAAAATTGGGATCATCCCCTTGCTCCAAAATTCCATTGACTTTCTTTTGGTTTTGTCCTTTAGAGCAAAGTCCGTGGTCCTGTCAGCGGCAGCCCAGACAGCATGAATGCCTCTCGCCTTAGTCACTCTGGTCAGCTGCTGGCTCAGCCTTCACCAGCCCCCAGCAGCTTGCCCGAGGCCATCAAGAAAAGGTAGGTCACTGATCAGCACCTGGTGTGATAGCCATGGGCGCTTCGGGAGGTTGTGGGAATGGAAATGCGTGTTTATCCTTGATAGATGGGTTCGTTTATCTAGTGATCTTGTCCATGTTTTTCTTTGTGTTTGTTAATACGCTAGGCAAATGTGGTGTTTTATTCTCCTAGTCCCTTATAACTTGCTAACTAAGTACTTTTCTTGTTTGAGGCCTGGATTACTAATTGCTTAATGAGGATATTGAAAGTGCTAGTCAGTCACATACTATAATACAGTCCTGTCAGCCATCATCTGTTGTTCAAAACCAGATTCCCCCCAGGGAGTACCCTGCTGGCCAAATCCCATAGTCCTGCCTCCTCCCTCTCGCCCCCCACCACTCTGAGTTACCAAGCTGTGGTTTTCCTCCTGCTGCCTGTCCTCACCCCCACTTCTGTCACCTGGGCCACTGCCACCGAGGTGGTGAACAGAGCATTTCAGCTCTTTCTGCAAAGTATTTGGCCTCCCTGCTTCCTGTCCAGTACTGCCTCCAAGCCCTCTCTGGTCAAAGGAGTCCTCCCAAAATATGATTTGATCAGGTTATTTCTTTGGCCAGTGACTTTGACTTGTAGTGGCTTCCCACTCCCCTGGAGGATGCAAGCTGAGCCTTTTCAGATGTATGTGGCTACCTCAGAGCCACTCTCCAGGCTGACCCCCTGTTCCTTACAAACTCCTGGCCTAGCCCACTGGTTCTGAAAGTCTGATCCAGAGCAGCAGTGTCAGCAGCACCTGGGTACTTGTTAGAAATGCAGATGCTGAGTCAGCTGCTCAGGGGTGGGCCCAGCAGGCAGCTTTTCAGAAGCCTTGGCTGGTTGCTGATGCACAGGGAAGTTCCAGAACCTCTGGCCGGTGTCCTGCCCTGAGAGGTCCTCCCATCTGCAGGACGCATCTGCTTCCCCCCACCCCCCGCAGTGCCCTGACCACTCACACACCCAGCTCTCTTCTTGGACCGCCTGTGGGTGCTTTTGTTTCTGGTATGTTCCCACGCAGTTTCTTCAACATCTTCTATATGTCAGGCTTTGGGCACTGGCGATGGTAAAGCCATTGCTGTGACCTAATATTCAGACATAGAAAATAGATGAATGATTATCTAGGGCAGGTGAAGCGGGGAAGGGGAAAGGGCTGATAAGGGTATAAGGTTTCTTTTTGGATGATGAAAATGTTTTAAAACTAGATAATTGTAAAGATTGTGTTAATTCTATAAATATACTAAAACTATCAAATTATACACCTTAAATGGGTGAACTTTATGGTATGTAAATTACATCTCAGTAAAGCAGTTTTAAAAATCCTGCTCTGTGCTTGGGGAGTTCATAGTCTATACTGTGGTGGTACTTCATTGTACATGACCTTAGATTCTTAACTTTCTCCCCAATCTCCTGTGAGCCTGAGGATGGTAACCAGGTCCTCTGCCTCTTACGTTGCCCTTTGGAGCTGGCACCGAGCCTTCAATCCAGTCAGTAGCCATGCAGAAGGAGCCAAGCAAAAATGTGGCCTGCACTCCTTCCATCAGAGTGTCGTGCTTCCAAAAGTGAGCAGAATTCCAGGGCACTGTCCTCCTGGATTTGGCATATTCCCTCCAGTGATATCCTGGTAGCTCTGGAAAAGTCATCCTGGGAGCACAGGTTGCCTCTGTGTCATGGAGCTGAAGTTGGAATAGGACAGTGGCTTATCATATTCTCCCCTTCCTCCCCACAGCCGTTCTTGACAGGACAGGTGCATTTCTTATCATAGAAAAGAGAGAGCAGATTAAATGAAATCAGTTCCTAGAACATGCTTTTTCACAGATCTCAAGGAAACTGTGGAAATTGTGAAATAACTTAGTTTATATCATCTTTTTTTCTATTTCGAAAATTGGAAAATAGGTGATTTGTGAGATAGCTTCAGATATTGGCAGTTTGGAGGGAATTACATTCAGCTATCTAGTTAAGTCAGAAAGAATTTATTTACTTCTAACTTTTATATTAAAAAGAGATCTATTTTTTCATGTTGTGAATGGTAATGCTTATTTATGACTGGGTGTGGGCTTCTGAAAAGTGTTTAACAAGACGAATGAGATTACTAGTAGGACATGGTGCTTTAAGACAGCATCCAAGTAATTGTAATTTAATTTAAAAAATCTTGTCAAAAGCTCTGTAATTTATTTCCTAAACAATAGTATTATCTCTGAAAAATCATGCTGAGCATTTTCTAATAATGTGATCATTTTCTTTAGTGAAGAACTGGTGGCTGAAGCACATACTCTCTGCACCCAGCTAGAAAATGCAATGCAAGACACCATCAAAGAACAGGACCAGAGTTTGAGGGTAATGGGCTGTGTGAATCCCAGCTATTCCATATGCTTCCTTTCCATGGCACACCAGAAAAAGCAAAAGCAAAAGCAATCCAGCTTGTCCTCTGTCTCAGTAAACGCTTATGCTTTTCTAGTACCTATTTATTATTATATATAGTAAAGCTAACAATTACTGAATGGGTACAAGTATTTTATGTGCATTATTTCATTTAATCCTTGTAACACGTTGTAACATTTAATTTTTACCAGGAAGGTAACATCATTCTAAGAAGGTCTTTCTCTCCCTGCGGTGTCTGTAGCACTGCTGGGCGTCTGCGTGTGTGGGGTGCTGGGTCAGACTCTGGGGATGAAACAAGAACCTGTCACAGCCCCACCTCTCCAGGACTCAGAGCTTAAGTAGGCCGTACTAGTTAGAGTGAAGCTCACCTGATAAAAAGCTAGTCAAGGCACAGGTACATTTTAAAGCAAAGCTCAGGTTGCTGAGAGGACCCTGAGTCATTCCTCAGATTTTTAAAAGGCCCTCTCCTGCCCAGCCAGTGACCTGCAAGCCTCCGCCTAACTACTCAGCTGTCAGGAGAATCAGATGAGATACCACTGCTGACTGTAATCACTTCCTGTTTATTCAAGTGTCCCATCTCCGGTTTGGGGAGACATTTGTCCTCCTCCTGACGGTATATTTTGAGCAGTTCACTGCTGGTTTGCACTTCTGCCAGAGGAAAAGGAAGTCTCCTCAGACCATGTCATCTGGGAGGACTGAAAATGGGTACTGAGCTTAGCTCTTGATACCACCTACCCACAGTTGGGCAAAAATAAGTGCTGTGAGCCACAGGGAATACTAAAACTTCCCGTCTTCTTTCCATAGTCACAGAATCTGAGGGACTTCGAGCTAGGCCAAAGGAAAGTTCCTGTATGGTTTTGAAAAATGTAGTTTTAGCTCAAGAGTAGCCTGCAATAACAAGACTGCTATTAATGAGAGGATTTAAATTCCCTTCTAAATTGTGCTGGTTGCCTCCTGAGGAAGACAAACAGCCTGAAGTGCATTGGTGACCACTGTATTTTTAACATGCCTGTTGACTTTCAGTCTCTAGACTGGAGCTGGTTACAGACGGAAGAAGAGCAGAATAGCCTGGAACAGGCCTCTTGACTGTGTGGGTGGCCTTGACCTGAGGCCTGATGGGGCTGCCTGGCCTGAGGCCCTCCCGCGGTGGCCCCTGCTATAACAGTGTCCCAGGAGTCTTCAGCACCTGGACAAAGATCTTCTCACTTCCCCAGGAGTTGTGACATTTACAACAGGCCAGGGGTGTGGCCCTCTGTGGGCACTACCAGCAACTTGTCTGCACACTGGAAGTCCTCCATCACAGAGGTTCAGCAAACACTGATGCCAGGCGTGAGCATTTGGGGAGACCAAGCCACTTCCTCTGCTCCAAAAAAATGCTCAAAGTACTTGCCCCACAGACCACTGGACAACTGTCACGTGATTCTTTCAGGACAAAGTATGCAAGACACTCGATGTCAGTCTGTCCTCTCCTGAGCCCTCCTGATGTCCAGAGGCCCTGATCCACCTGTCCTCACAACTAGTGTTTCACCTGGACTCGGAACCAGACAGACTTTTAGATCATAGACTCGGCCTGGCCCCATCCTTTCTCTTCATCTTTTCATTTCACTGCTGCTAAAATTTCCCTTTTCCTGACTACGTTGGTGGTTGTGCACCTTCAGCAAGGTTATAGGTGAATACCAGCTCTCCTCATCCATGGTCCTTTCAGACACAGAGTGACTCGCTAGAGCCAGGGCAGGAGAGCAGCTTCCTTCCTTCAGGTTCCAGATTCCACCAAGGAGTGTGTCATTGTGGGGAAGGAAAAGAAAAGGGTATCTGTCGGCCCCATGTCTGCTGATCACTGTACCCACACTTGTCCTTGCTCAGACACATCTGTGTGGGGTGGTGGTGGGACAGGGGAGTTCCTGCTTCTCGTATCAGCTAGCAGTATTATTAAATCGATTTATTTAAAAAAATAGTTTCTATATTTTGTAACATAACTCAAACATTTGTATTGGGTTCCACAATCTATTTTTACAATATTTATGTTTAGGATTTAGGAACTCAAAAACCAACTTAATGGAACGTGTCATAAAATGGAATAGTACATGGATCAGATGGTGCCGTATAGCACTAGCACTGCTTCTTTGACATTTTACAACTTCTTTATATTAAATCAGGAATACAAAACGAGTTCAGATGATCACAAATAGGCAAGTTTGGTCAGAAATAAGTTGGAATAGGAGAGTTTCACAAACTGGCTTCCATGAAAACCATACAAAGGGTTTCATGGCCAAGCAAGTTTAGGAAATGCCTCATGCTTTAATTCTCTTGGAGATTCACATTGTACCCTAGCATATTAAAGTTTCTGAGAGTCCTGTAGTAAACTGACTTCACTGTATAAATCTGTTTACCAAACACATTTGACAACAGAGCCTTTCCCCCCACCCCTTGTGTGAACGTAACATTTTTTAACATCCCAAAGAGCTAGAGTTGGATACAGCATGATTTTGGAAACACTGGTGAGGAGCACAGTGGGAAAGAAGTCCAGAAAGACAGGCTGGGATGAGGCCAGATTGGGGAGGGAAGGAATGTTGGCCTAAGGGTTATGGACCTACAGGCAGCCAGGAGTCACTGAAGAATTTTGAGTAAGAAAATGACATCACCAAAGCAATGGCTTAAAATGACTAACGTAACGGGTATATGCTACTTGATTAAAAAAGTGAGGTCTGGAGGTAGGACTTCTGCTTCCAAGATGATGAAATAGATGTACTTTCCCCAGTCTTTCCTTTAAGCATAACTAAAATCCTTCACCGTTGTCTATAAACAAGTATAAGAAGTCGCTGAAAGGTAGAAGGCGGCAGACCAGCTAGGGACCTTGGACCTGAGGAGTGAGGTGGTGGTGAGTTCCCTGGGTTTTCCTTTTGCCTTATCAGTCCCCAATTGGGTGTGGGAAAACTAACAGCAGGCACAACTGAAGAGCCTGCTCCCTCTAGTGGTACTAGGTTCCCAGGGCTGCTGTAACAAATTCTACCCACCGCAGAGCTTTAAGCAACAGAAATCTGTTCTCACAGTTGTAGGCTAGAATCAAAGTGCTGACAGGACAGCACTTCCTCCAAAGACTGCAGAGAGAGTCTTTCCTTTGCTTCCTCTGGCTTCTGATGAGTCCAGGTGATCCTACACTTGTGGCTACATCTCTGCCTTCATGGTCATATTGCCACTTCGTCTTCTACCCGTCAAATCTCCCCTGTGAGCCTATTATTAGAACCCTTGTGACTGAATTTAGGGCTGGTCTGGATAATCTAGGATAAGCTCCTCTCCTCGAGACCCTTAATGTAATGACATGCTTTGCCATGTACGGCAATATTCACAGATTCTGGGTTTAAGATCCATGTTTCTTTCAGCGGGGACCACCATATAACCCAGTACAATCCACCACCTAGCCCCTCAAAATCCATACTCCTCTCCTATGTAAAATATTCACCCCATCTCAACATCCCCAAAAGTCTCAACCCATTACAGAACCAACTCCATGACCAAAATCTAAATGTCAACTCAGAAGTCCTGAATTTCATTATCTACAGCTCATTTGGGGAGACTTGGCATGATCATCCTGAGTCAAAAATCTTCCATCTATGGATCTGTGAAACCAGAAAACAAGTTACCATTACAGCTCCCAAGATACAAAGGTGAGATATGCATATAATAGATACTCCCAATCTAGAAGAATGAAGGAGTCACCAGTCCCAAGCAAGCTTAAAATCCAGCTAGGTAAATTTCATTAGGTTTCAAGTCTTGAGAATCCTCTGTCACTTGCGGCTCTGCCCATGGGGCCCAAGCCAACTTCATGGCTTCTTGAGTCTGTGCCTGCAGTGACTCATAGGCATCCGCTTCTGTGCCTGCTCCTCTAGCCTCTGCCTTTGTATCCAAGTGTGTGCCCTCAGAATCATTCTTTTTCTTGAAGGCTAGCATATGTTAAAACTGAGTGACTCTATCAACCATTCCCAGCCTGCAGAGTTTTGGAAGTCTAACAGACATCTCTTCATCTTCTCTCTACCCCTCTTAGTCCGACCTGATTTCTGTGCTATTCTCAAAAAGATTTTGCAGGTCTCCTGTGTATGTTCTGAGAGTCCATACCATTAGATAAAAGGTCCACAGATCTTTCTTAGGCAACCCCATCACTATTCCTGGGTTCTGCTGAGATGATTGGGTCTATAAGTCACACACATACTCTTTTCAGTGAAAGGTTGTCTGGTTGCCTCTTTGGTCTGCTCTTCAGAGGATGCTTTCCCAATAGTGAATTTCTTAATTTTAGCACCCTTTGCAATCTGGATAGGCTGAAAACCTTGAAAATCATCAAGTGCTGTTTTTTTTCTTCTTCTAGACCTTTCTTCATTTCCTTCATTTTGTATTTTACTGTAAGTTGCAATGAGAAATCAGGCTACACCTTCAACACTTTGCTTGGAAATCTAAGCAGCTAAACATCCAGGTTCATTGCCTACAAGTTTTGCTTTCCACATAATGGCAAACCATAATTCAGCTAAGTAACATACATATTTCTACCAACATTCTATTGATGATGATATATGTATTCTCGAAAATGATAGAAGCTTTATCTACCATGCTCGTCACTTTCTGAGCCCTCATCAATGTCTTTAATGTCTCCAAATAAAAGTATGGATAAATACAATAGACTTTCCTTTTCTGGAGTTTTCTAAATTATGTTTGATGTCATCTGGATGGCTCAATCAGTTAAGCCTCTGCCTTTGGCTTGAGTCATGATCCCAGAGTCCCAGGATCGAGCCCCAAATTGGGCTCCCTGTTCAGTGAGGACTCTGCTTCTCCCTCTCCCCCTACTCCATCTCTCACTCTCCATTTTTAAAAGACCCAACTATATGCTGCCTACAGGAATCTCAGTTCAAATATAATGATTGAAGCAGGTTGAAAGTAAAAGGATGAAAAAGATACACCATGCAAACACTAATCAAAAGAATGTGGGAATGACTTCATTACTATTGGAGATTTAAAAAAAAAATGACCAGGGACAGAGAGGAACATTACAATAATAAATTGCAGTAATCCACCAAAAACATAGCAATCCTAAGTCTTAATGTACCAAACAACAGAGCTGCAAAACATGTGAAGCAAAAACCAACAGAACTGCAAGGTGAGATAAATCCACAATCAGTTGGAATTGTCAGTATTTCTCAACAATTCATAGAACTACATATAAAATGGGCAATACATAAAGAATAAAGAAGAACTCAATGCTATCAACCAACAGGACCGCATCAACAATTTTAGAGCACACCTCCAACAATGGCAGAGTATTCATTCCTTTCAATTACCCAAGGAACATATACAAAGATAGACGAAATCTTGGGTCATAAAACAAACCTCAACACATTTATAAGCACTGATGTCATACAGAGTGTGTTCTCTGATCACAATGGAATCAAACTAGAAATTAGTAACAGATAACTGGAAGGCACCGGGTTCACAGTTGGTTGGGTTTCAGCTCAGGTCATGATCGCAGGGTCATGATCTCAGCATTGTGAGATTGAGCTCCATGTTGAGGTCCATGCTCAGCACAGTCTGCTTGGGATTTTCTCTCCCTCTCTCCTCTGCCCCCCACCTCCCTTTGCTCACTTGCTTACTCTCTCTCTGAAATAAATAAATCTCAAAAGGAAAAAAGAAAGAAAGAAAGAAAGAAAGAAAGAAAGAAAGAAAGAAAGAAAGAAAGAAAGAAAGAAAGAAAGAAAGAAAGAAAAGAAAGAAAGAAGAAAGGAAAAGAAAGAGAAAAGAAAGAAAAGAAAGAAAGAGTTAAAATTTTAACTGTGGCACACAGCTAAAGTATTGAAAGAAATGTATAACACTAAGAGAGTACTTTAGAAAAGAAGGACCTCTCAAATAATCTAAGCTCTCACTTCCAGGACTTAGAAAAAAAGAGAGCAAAATAAACAAAAGCAGAGCAGCAAAACAATAAAGATAAAATAATAAATTGATAAAAAGGAAAACAAAAAGATAATATCTAAACAGTAAGATGGTGGGTGGCCAGGTGGCTCAGTGGGTTAAGCATCCAACTCTTGATTTTGGCTCAGGTCATGATCTCAGGGTCCTCAGATTGAGTCCTGCACAGGCTCCATACTCAGCAGTGAGTCTAGTTGAGGATTCTCTCTTTCTCTCCCTCTGCCCCTCCCCCTAGTCATGTGCATGTGTATGTGTTCTCTGTCTTTCTCTCTTTCTCTCTCTCAAATAAGTAAATCTTTTTAAAAAAGTAACAAGGGCACCTGTGTGGCTCAATGGTTGAGCATCTGACTTTGGCTCAGGTCATGATCCTGGGGTCCTGGGGTTGAGTTCTGCATCTGGCTTCCTGCAGGGAGCCTGCTTCTCCCTCTGCTTGTGTCTCTGCCTCTCTCTCTATCTCTCATGAATAAATACATCTTTAAAAAACAAACAGCTCCTCCGTGGGCACATTGTGAGCGTTGAAGGAGCCCTTTGCCTTCCTGCGAGCTCTGGAACTGATAACTTTCAAATCATTCTGAAACCCTACGAATTTGACCTGAGATTTATTATTTTTTTTTAAAGATTTTGTTTTATTTACTCATGAGAGATACAGAGCAAGAGAGAGAGGCAGAGACACAGGCAGAGGGGAAGCAGGCTCCATGCAGGGAGCCTGACATGGGATTCAATCCCGGGTCTCCAGGATCACACCGTGGGCTGCAGGCGGCGCTAAACTGCTGTGCCACCGAGGTTGCCCCTTGACCTGAGATTTAAAGAGAGAACAGCTGGAATGCTACAGAGAGAGGAGTTTGCGCTTCTAACAAGGTAGAAAGGTAGAAAGAAAAAAAAAATCCAGTGGGGGAGGGGCCCCGCGAGTGGCGAAAGCCTCCGGGACAGGAAAGCCCGGCCCTGGAGAAGCAGAAACTTTAAAACTCTGCACCAGATTCTTCCCGGATGGAAAGGTGCTCAGCCGGGAAATCAGGCAGAACCGCAGGAGGGGCAGTGGAGCCTCCAGTCTCCCAGAGTCACTAACAGAGGAAGTGCCCCCGGGGGGAGCGCGCACCACAGACCGCAGGCCAAGCGCTGTAAAGGGCTAGAGCACACCTGGCGGGGCCTTGGGGAGCCGCTTAGGCGGGGGCTGCGCCCTGCTGCCTTCGGAGCCGGGGCCCCAGAGCGTGATTCCAGCAGCACACAGCCGGATTCCAGGGCTCTAGGGGACACAGCTCAGGATCCTGTGTTCCCCCCCAGGACAGATGGAGACGGGGAGGGCACACGTCAGCGAGGACTCTCCTGCTGCCAGGGACCCGAACTATGCAGGTCAGCACCCCCGGCCCCGGAGCATCCTGGCTAGTGAGGACTGGGAGACTGTGGTAGTTACTGCAGGACCTGACTCCAGGGCTGGAGACCTGGCCACTGCCAGTGTGGTTGTTCCTCCTTGTGTCACCCTGTGCCTAGGACTGAGGGGAGCCTCCAGGGAACAGCAGCCTCACAGAATAAACAGCTCCCACTGAGCCATGCACCCGGCAGGGGGCGGGGCAGCTCCCCCAGGTGCACACACCTGAGAATCAGCACAGCAGGCCCCTCCCCCAGAAGACCAGCTGGAAGGACAGGGGAAGAACAAGTTCTGGACCTAGCAGTGCTAGAAAGTTCCAGGGGAAGTCAAGGGATTTACAGTATATAGAACCAGAGGAATCATCCAGGGTGAAATTTACTTAGATTGTGGTTGATATTCTTGACTCAGCTCGCTCATACAGCCACTCTGCACTGAGCAAAATGACTAGAAAGAACTCACCACAAAAGAAAGAATCAGAGGGATCCCTGGGTGGCGCAGTGGTTTGGCACCTGCCTTTGGCCCAGGGCGCGGTCCTGGAGACCCGGGATCGAGTCCCACGTTGGGCTCCTGGTGCATGGAGCCTGCTTCTCCCTCTGCCTGTGTCTCTGCCTCTCTCTCTCTCTCTGTGACTATCATAAATAAATAATTAAAAAAAAGAAAGAATCAGAAACAGTACTGTCTGCCACAGAGTTACAGAATTTGGATTACAATTCGATGTCAGAAAGCCAATTCAGAAGCACAATTAGAAAGCTACTGGTGGCTCTGACAAAAAGCATAAAGGAATCAAAAGACTTCATGACTACAGAATTTAGATCTAATCAGGCCTAAATTAAAAATCAATTAAATGAGATGCAATCCAAACTGGAGGTCCTAATGATGAGGGTTAATGAGGTAGAAGAAAAAGTGAGTGACATAGAAGACAAATTGATGGCAAGGAAGGAAGCTGAGGGAAAACGAGAAAAACAAAAGACCATGAGGAAAGGTTAAGGGAAATAAATGACAGCCTCAGAAGGAAAATTCTAGTATAATTGGGGTTCCAGAGGGCCAGAAAGTATATTTGAACAAATCATAGCTGAGAACTTCCCTAATTTGGGGAGGGAAACAGGCATTCAGATCCAGGAGATAGAGAAGTCCCCCACTAAAATCAATAAAAACTGTTCATCACCTCAACATTTAATAGTGAAACTTGCAAATTCCAAGAGAAAAATCCTTAAAGCAGCAAGAGACAAGAGATTCCTAACTTATATGGGGAGAAATATTAGATTAACAGCAGACCTCTCCACAGAGACCTGGCAGGCCAGAAAGGGCTGGCAGGATATATTCAGGGTCCTAAATGAGAAGAACATGCAGCCAAGAATACTTTATCCAGCAAGGCTCTCATTCAGAATAGAAGGAGAGATAAAGAGGTCCCAAGATAGGCAGAAACTGAAAGAATATGTGACCACCAAACCAGCTCTGCAAGAAATATTAAGAGGGACTCTGTAAAAGAAAGAGGACGCCCAAAGAAACAATCCGCAAAAACAGGGGCTGAATAGGTATTATAATGACACTAAATTCATATCTTTCAATAGTAACTCTGAACATGAATGGGCTAAATGATCCCATCAAAAGACGCAGGGTTTCAGACTGGATAAAAAAGCAAGACCCATCTATTTGATGTCTACAAGAGACTCATTTTAGACCTAATGAGTCTAAAGGACACCTACAACTTGAAAATGAAAGGTTGGAGAACCATTTACCATTCAAATGGTCCTCGTAAGAGAGCAGGGATAGTAGCAATCCTCATATCAGATAAAGTTTATCAGCAGCCCCAGTGGCGCAGCAGTTTAGCACCACCTGTAGCCCAGGGTGTGATCCTGGAGACCTGGGATCGAGTCCCATGTCAGGCTTCCTGCATGGAGCCTGCTTCTTCTTCTCTCTCTCTCTCTCTCTCAATAAATAAAAAAAATTAAACTTTATCCCAAAGACTCTAGTAAGAGATGAAGAGGGACACTATATCATACTTAAAGGATCTATCCAACAAGGTGGACCTAACAATCATGAATATTTATGCCCCTAATGTGGAAGCTGCCAAGTATATCAATCAATTAATAACCAAAGTAAGGACATACTTAGATAAAAATACACTAATACTGGGAGACTTCAACAGGGCACTTTCTGTAAATGACAGATATTCCAAGCACAACATCTCCAAAGAAACAAGAGCTTTAAATGATACACTGGACCAGATGGATTTCACAGATATTTACAGAACTTTACATCCAAAGGCAACTGAGTACACATTCTTCTC